CAGGTAATGGCGGAGCGATTTCTGCATAGCGTACCTTTAAAGATTGAAATCAGATTAAAACAAGTTGACATACATTTTTTTGTTGATTCTTCTCCATCCTCCCGATTCCGAATGTAAAATGTTAATTGTCATGGCATGCTTGGTTCAATAGCTGTGGACGAGAATACCGAGTATCCAATATAAAACTAATTTTAACTCAGTGCCTAACCGAACCATATACCTATAGGTTCTCTAAAGAATTTACTTTCCTATGGATATTGTTTGAAATTTCGGACAAACCGCACAGACAACCGGTAGAGAAAGTTTAAATGTAATTTTATTCAACATTCTGGCTATTAGGAATATTTACACGATTTTACAGGCATTCGTTTCAGGCTGTAGTTATATACCAATTCATTTTGTATTACAGCCAGATTAATCAGACTAACATACAGCTAACCAGCTGTTGGTGTTATAACGAGGGAAGCTAGCTAGCTAGGCTAGCTGGCTGTTTACAGTATAATTGCATTATTTTGGGTGTAGAAATAGAGGGGGCTTGCTATTGTACCGTATGATAATCGATAAAATGATGCAGGTACATTTGACAAAAAATAATGTCATTATCTAACGTAGTAGCAGACTAGGCAGGAAGAATTGACAGGGTTGCTAGCTAAAATGTGTACATGCATCCATCCCCATATCACATCACACTTCTAGCTGGCAAGCTAACTAGCGCTAGGCTAGTATTAAACTGTCGGGTTTTGAGTGCTAGCTTGCTAACGTTAGCTTTCTATCCTGGAAGACGACGTTGAGACATGATACGAACAATTTCCTGAACCGTGTTTAGTTACATGAATGTACTCACTGGTACCCAAGGTTGTCCGATCAGCAACGACGTTAGCCGTCTTTGTGTCGGGCCTCTCACATTGTTGTCTCCACCCGGTGGTTATCGGACAGATTCAAGTATTTCTGGATGAACGATGATGCTACGCATCAGATGTTCCTGCGATAATCTCGTCGGTTTTGGGGTCTCGTGTTTATCAGGAAGAACAAAAACATCATCCCTCCTCGTCTCTAAACTGACATCTGGTGGTGGGACGTGGAAACACTGAAGCATGGCTGAGTGCTGAACACAAAAGACACATCTGCAATTCATAACAGTAGGTCCAATATTGAGGGCAATCACACATCTGTTTTAGTTAGTTAATGCAATCCACTCTAGACTCAATATAATTCCTAATCTCACATCATGACAGTTGTACAGTTGAAAAGATATGGATCACACTGAAAATGTTTCAAGCATAACAAGTGACCTAGACCTTGATCATGACTCTCAGTTCCAATACATTACACTACACATAAGAGTCATTGGACGAAGGCGTCTTCTGTATGGGGGAGTTTTGTTAAGAGCCTCAATTCTCAATCTGAACATTAACACGCGTCGCTTGCGGTACGGTTTTGGAAGCATAAGGACCTTATCTTCTATATCAGAGAGAAATCATTTTCTAAAAAACAAAAGGTTAAATTGATATACACCTTGATAGGTTTAGTGTTCCCACGTGGCCATATGTTACAGCCAGTGGCGGCTCCTGAAAAGATTCTCGGGGGGGGGCAATTTTTCTGATGATTTAGGTGACCTACACACATTTAAAAAAAGATATGTCCAGCAACAACATGAAGACAGGGGCAGCATATAAGTCAATACCAGAAGCATTTATTGACTGATCTCAAAAGTGTTGGCTTACAAAAGCAAAATAAGTTATCACAGTAAAAATAATCAAGGGTGTTCTTTCACATTCCTCAACACTGCATAAACAATATGCATTTCCATAAAACACCTCATCTAATTGTGCCACAAAGTTGACAAGTCCAAGAAAAATACCAGGGTTGGTGGAGCCCTCAGTTTCATCTTTGCCTCGCAAAACTAACTCAAACACTCCGCAAAACTTCACACACTGGATTAGCCGGCTGAGGATGTGGCGGTTCTTGCTAACCTCATCGTTGTGGCGGCGGACAGCTAGCCTGTATCCCTCATCCAGTTGAGTGGCAATGTTCACTCTCCCCAAAGCAGACAATCTCAAACAGCTATCCATGTGGGTCTTTGACAGCTCATGTTTCTTAATCTTTTCTGAAAGATGGTGCATGTCCGTTACACCAGTCGCTGTCCAAGCGGTGCTGTCTGCCGTGCCGCCTTCAGGGTGAAAGAGTAAGCAGGGGTAGCAGAAGACTGCATTAGCTACATCGCAGCCTGCTAGCCAGGTTTTTCGTTCGTACCAATTTTTGGAAAATCCTCGGGTGTAGGACTTTCCCCCTTTAGTAGAAACCTGTTGAATTATTAAATTTGGTCTGGGAGGTCCTAATTGTTTCGTTGCCAATTTATCTTGATTTGTTCGCCGACAAAAAGGAACTTCTTTCAAAGAGACAATCGAGTTGCACTGAACGCTAGCCATCTTGACAGTAGTACGTGAATTGATTGACGCTGCTACCCGCTCTTTTCTTAGTTACGTTCATGGTTATGTTACGTATGACGAAAGCGCGTAAGTGCAAGCCCTCCCGGAACCGATAGAGATTGTATTGAAAGCTCTGATATTTGAAAAAAAAAGATTTTACATGAGAGTCTATGAGAGACTTCTGTGGCGATTTTCAACCTGACTGAAATCGCCCCAAAAGGGGCGGGGCCATTTGAAGCACGACTTTAGCCTGATTGGACATTTAGTGGCAGATCAGACGTCTAGATTAGAACACTGATAACTACTGTTGCCGTGATATAATTGATTAGAAAAAAAATCCCTTCCTTTTCCCGTTTGGCAGTGCGTCGCCCATATCGCCCTAATGAACACACCGCCCCTGGTTACAGCGCTTGTTTATGGAAGACAAAAGAGGTGACCACATAGCCACCGGAAGTAGTTTGGGGTGGGAGTGCTGTGACTTTTTTTTGCCATGGGGGATTTTTTTGCAATGCTGACGATGTCTATATTGGTCTGCTAATACAGGACTAGTTAAGGCCCAGTGCCCTACTTTTCTGAAAAAATGTAAACTACATGTATTTGAGTGTTTACCAGCATTTGTAATTTGAGTCTGATAATTATCTGTACAAAACAGTTAATCTGACTTGTGGAATATAAAAATACTTGCTTGATATGTTTTCCAGTTTCTTGAAATACTTTGCAAATGCAACTTATTTCTATGTGAAAACTGAAATGGTCTATTCATTCCTTTTTCATTTTAGTAGTCGCTCTTATCCATAGCAATTTACAGTAGTGAGTGCATACATTTTCGTACTTGTCCCCCATGGGAATCGAATCCCACAACCCTAGCATTGAAAGCGCCATGCTCTACCAACTGAGCCACATCCTCACAAAGCACTTGATGTCTCAATGTACTCAATTACTGTATTGTGCATTGTTTTTCTCCATGGTGATGGAAAGTCTACAGGTACAAACCTAGATGACCAGCCTACAGTGCATTCAGAAAGTATTCAGACCCCTTGACTTTTTCCACATTTTGTTACATAACAGCCTTGTTTTAAAATTGATTAAATTGTTTTTTTCTCTCATCAATCTACACACAATACCCCATCATGACAAAGAAAACACAGGTTTTTAGAAATATTTGCAAATGTATTAAAAATAAAAAACAGAAAAATTACATTTACATAAGTCTTCAGACCCTTTACTCAGCACTTTGGTGAAGCACCTTTGGCAGCGATTACAGCCTCAAGTCTTCTTGGGTATGACGCTACAAGCTTTGCACACCTGTATTTGGAGAGTTTCTCCCATTCTTCTCTGCAGATCCTCTCAAGCTCTGTCAGGTTGGATGGGGAGCGTCGCTGCACAGCTATTTTCAGGTCTCTCCAGAGATGTTAGATCGGGTTCAAGTCCGGGCTCTGGCTGGGTCACTCAAGGACATTCAGAGACTTGTCCCGAAGCCACTCCTGTGTTGTCTTGGCAGTGCTTAGGGTCGTTGTCCTGTTGGAAGGTGAATCTTCGCTCCAGTCTGAGGTCCTGAGCGCTCTGGAGCAGGTTTTCATCAAGGATCTTTCTGTACTTTGCTCCGTTCATCTTTGCCTCGATCCTGACTAGTCTCCCAGTCAATGCCACTGAAAAACATCCCCACAGCATAATGCTGCCACCACCATGCTTCACCGTAGGGTTTCCTCCAGACTTGACGCTTGGCATTCAGGCCAAAGAGTTCAATCTTGGTTTCATCAGACCAGAGAATCTTGTTTATCATGGTCTGAGAGTCCTTTAGGTCCTTTTGGCAAACTCCTGTCATGTGCCTTTTACTGAGGAGTGGCTTCCATCTGGCCACTCTATGATAAAGGCCTGATTGGTGGAGTGCTGCAGAGATGGTTGTCCTTCTGGAAGATTCTCCCAATCAAGTTGTAGAAACATCTCAAGTATGATCAATGGAAACAGGATGAACCTGAGCTCTATTTCGAGTCTCATAACAAAGGGTCTGAATACTTATGTAAATAAGGTATGTTTGCAAAAAATTCTAAAAACCTGTTTTTGCTTTGTCATTATGGGGTGTTGTGTGTAGATTGATGAGGAAAAGAAATAATGTAATCGATTTTAGAATAAGTCTGTAACGTAACAAAATGTGGAAAAAGTCAAGGGGTCTGAATACTTTCTGAATGCACTGTATATATTATTTTTCTTCTGATTCTTCAAGGGGTGCTGCAGCACCCTCAGCACCCCTACTTCCCGCGGTTATGGGCGACCACCTGTGCTAATTAGCTCTCTAGCATGCTCAGAACACCTGTGTGTAAGCGTAACTCGGGAAGTGTAGTTTCGTCGGATGGAGGCACCCATAGTTGTATGGATTCTTTCCATATATTTTGAAAGCCGTATCGCACGCGATGATTATTGAAGTTTCTAAACGTTAAAACACAGCGTCGGGATTGTAGTTGTGGGCGAAGCTAATGGATGAAAACTGTAGGGAGAAGGCAGAATGCCACCTAGAGTATGAGAGCTAACCTAGACCTAATAAGCATAAGAATACATAAAGCACACAGGAACTTCTCTTTGTTCGTTTTATTAATCTTACATCCAAGTAAAATGTAATCTTACATCCAGTAATTTAGGTATGTGTTTGCAGGATACCACAGGGGCAATATTACTTTTCCACTTACCCCTCCCAAGCTTAGACCTGATAGTGTGATCTGCTTATAACACTGGAATATGACATTTGGAATTTGGCACATTCATGTAGAGAATACTGTACCTTCCCTTTATTGGAGTCACTTAGCACATCTTTTTTAGAACACATCTCAAAAAAGTGAATCTTCTCCCATCACTTTCTGCAGAGAGAAAAATAAATACAATGTTCTGTAAACAAGCTGTCTTTTCTTACAAAATAGTGGTAGGAGATCTGTTTCAATACTTTATATTACACATTCTGCAACTTTCCAGGGCCAATTAACCACCTGAAAAAATATGGGTGTTGTGGTACTACTGTCCTTATAGACCTGATACAGCACTGCATGGTCTGTGTGTCTTTCTGGATGAGGTCCCCACTGCAGTGTAGAAATTGCTTAATGGTTCGTCATACTCTGTTCTCCAACAGGGCTTCGAAGTCTGGCGAGCAGACCAATTTGTGTTTGATGTGTCCCAGCACTGACAAGTCACCAGTCCGGCCCTCTCCTGTTCCAACTGACACCAGCTCCTAATGGAATTAGAAGGGGGGGGGGGGGGGGGGGGCTTGTCAGACAATGACATACAAGACAAACATAAAATATGTTTACATACTGTACAACTATAAAACTACAGAGAAGTGAAGATTTAAAGGGAAATTCCACTCATTTCAACATCAAGTTCATCATCTCCAGCACCACCCCCAACATCAACATGAAAACGTCAGGTTTCTATGTTTTGTAGTAAAAAAGATGGAAGATAAGTGTTTCCAGTGACATCATCCAGAGACTCTGTCATCATCATCTGGTGTGCATCATATGATTTTAACCAACTATGAGCAGCCAAAGGTTGTGTTCTCTCTGACCTGGAGGAAAGCACATGAGGTTCCCAGAGCCACATCTAGTGTGACATGCCCCAGTATGAGCTGCACGCGACCAGACTTCCGCACCAACAGCCGTCCCACCAGACCCTCCTGCAGGTCCCTCAGATGGCAACTGTTTTCCTCCTGCTGCTCCTCCTATTCCACAGAGGACAGACATGCAAACTGATCGTATACAGTGAGGGAAAAAGGTATTTGATCCCCTGCTGATTTTGTACGTTTGCCCACTGACAAAGAAATGATCAGTCTATAATTTTAATGGTTGGATTATTTGAACAGTGAGAGACAGAATAGCAACAACAAAAAAATGAAAAACGCATGTCAAAAATGTTATAAATTGATTTGCATTTTAATGAGGGAAATAAGTATTTGACCCCCTCTCAATCAGAAAGATTTTTGGCTCCCAGGTGTCTTTTATACAGGTAACGAGCTGAGATTAGGAGCACACTCTTAAAGGGAGTGCTACTAATCTCAGCTTGTTACCTGTATAAAATATACCTGTCCACAGAAGCAATCAATCAATCAATCAGATTCCAAACTCTCCACCATGGCCAAGACCAAAGAGCTCTCCAAGGATGTCAGGGACAAGATTGTAGACCTACACAAGGCTGGAATAGACTACAGCCCATCGCCAAGCAGCTTGGTGAGAAGGTGACAGCAGTTGGTGCGATTATTCGCAAATGGAAGAAACACAAAAGAACTGTCAATCTCCCTCGGCCTGGGGCTCCATGCAAGATCTCACCTCGTGGAGTTGCAATGATCATGAGAACGGTGAGGAATCAGCCCAGAACTACACGGGAGGATCTTGTCAATGATCTCAAGGCAGCTGGGACCATAGTCACCAAGAAAACAATTGGTAACACACTACGCCGTGAAGGACTGAAATCCTGCAGCACCCGCAAGGTCCCCCTGCTCAAGAAAGCACATATACAGGGCCGTCTGAAGTTTGCCAATGAACATCTGAATGATTCAGAGGAGAACTGGGTGAAAGTGTTTTGGTCAGATGAGACCAAAATTGAGCTCTTTTGCATCAACTCAACTTGCCGTGTTTGGAGGAGGAGGAATGCTGCCTATGACCCCAAGAACACCATCCCCACCGTCAAAAATGGAGGTGGAAACATTATGCTTTGGGGGTGTTTTTCTGCTAAGGGGACAGGACAACTTCACCGCATCAAAGGGTGAGAACCTCCTTCCCTCAGCCAGGGCAATGAAAATGGGTCGTGGATGGGTATTCCAGCATGACAATGACCCAAAACACACGGTCAAGGCAACAAAGGAGTGGCTCAAGAAGAAGCACATTAAGGTCCTGGAGTGGCCTAGCCAGTCTCCAGAACTTAATCCCATAGAAAATCTGTGGAGGGAGCTGAAGGTTCGAGTTGCCAAACGTCATCCTCGAAACCTTAATGACTTGGAGAAGATCTGCAAAGAGGAGTGGAACAAAATCCCTCCTGAGATGTGTGCAAACTACAAGAAACGTGTGACCTCTGTGATTGCCAACAAGGGTTTTGCCACCAAGTACTAAGTCATGTTTTGCAGAGGGGTCAAATACTTATTTCCCTCATTACAATGCAAATCAATTTATAACATTTTTGACATGCGTTTTTCAGGATTTTTTTGTTGTTATTCTGTCTCTCACTGTTCAAATAAACCTACCATTAAAATTATAGACTGATCATGTCTTTGTCAGTGGGCAAACATACAAAATCAGCAGGGGATCAAATACTTTTTTCCCTCACTGTACATAGTAGCCTTGCTCTCTGAACCACATAGAGGCTGCTGCTGCCTATTGAAATCACTGGCCACTTTAAGAAATGGAACACTAGTCACTTTAATAATGTTTACATATCTTGCACTACTCATCTCATATGTATATACTGTATTCTATTCTATAATATTCTACTGTATCTTAGTCCATGCCGCTCTGTCATTGCTTGTCCATATATGTATATATTCATAAATTCCATTCCTTACTAGTTTTGTGTGTATTGGATATATGTTGTGAAATTGTTAGATATTACTTGTTAGATATTACTGCACTGTCGGAGCTAGAAGCACAAGCATTTCGCTTCACCCGCTATAACATCTGCTAAACACGTGTATGTGACAAATAACATTTGGTTTGACATATTTAATACCCGAATACCTACTTGAGATTCAGTTTTCAAAAGAATGGACTGTCCATCCTCTGACTGCATCTCTGTCTTCACTGGCCTGACCTCTTGGGTTGGCGGCTGCCCTGGTAGGGAGTCAGGGAGCTGGATGAAGAACAGCTCCTCTTCTTTGCTCTGACTCCAGCTCTCTAGCAGCTCAGGTAAAACCTCAGGCTCAGGGAGCGGAGGGGGTCTGAAAGTGGGTTCCATCTTCTTTACCTCTGGAGCATCTTCTGGCTCCTGTTTCACTGAAGAGGGAGGGAGACACATGGCAAGACATTTGGAGCCCATAGCTTTGCCATTTTGTTTCATTTTAACTGACATGGATTATTGTTACCTTTGACTGCATTTGTGCCATCCATGACCTCACTGTCCTCTTCAGTCTTGTCTGGTTTGAAGGAGGCTCTCTCAGTCACATCACTTTCCTCCTTGAATCCCCACCCTGACACAGCCAGGGGCAGCTGAACAGGACAGCTCCTTACATCACTCCTTAGGTGAGGGTCGTCCAGGAACTGGTGGAAATTAGTTGCAAATTACTTATAAGTAAGTGGGCAAGGAACTAGACAATAAATGTACAGGCCGACAGCATGATGAGACATAGGTACATGGAGGACTCACATTGTCTCGTTCCAGAGCGCGCAAAATTTCTTTGGTCTCTTCCTCTGTCTCCCTCTTCTCCTTCTTGATGTTGATGATGGGTGAGGGACCCACACTTGGTGCATCTCTCTCACCTTCATAGCCACCTGATTGGAGCACAGGAAGAAACTCAGGGGTTAAAACGCAAATCATGATACATCAATATGGTCTACACAAAATATTACACCATATAACACAATGTTATGGAATCCCAGCTGAATGAATGACCCGGCCGTACCTCTTTTCTTAATCATCATCTCTGCAGGCCCCTGTTCAAAGATGGAGTGGGACTGGATGACCTCTGGACGTCCCCGGCCCCGACCCCTACCACCTCGCTCACGACCCCGATCGTTCTCCCTCCTCTCCCTCCTTTGTCCACCCTCAACCTTCTGCCTATGGTAGAATAAAGTCAAACTCTGTCATCAACATATCGTCATTCCTAAGGTCAAGTATGTGCTGGAAAACATTTCAGAATCATGCATTGTATTTCCATTTTTGTCATTTAGCAGACTTTCAGTTAGGCAATTCATCTTAAGATGCACTATATACAGTATATACACAAAAGTATGTGGACACCCCTTATTTCAGCCACACCCATTGCTGATAAGTGTATAAAATCAAGCACACAGCCATGCAATCGCCATAGACAAACATTGGCAGTAGAATGGCCTTACTGAAGAGCTCGTGACACCTTCATAGGATGCCACCTTTCCAACAAGTCAGTTCGTCAAATTTGTGGGATTATTTAAGACTCTTTAAAGAAGGTACGGTTTCAGACGTTTTCGGAAGATGGGCAGGCACTCATTCCACCATTGGGGTGCCAGGACAAAGGAAGAGCTTCATATATCGTCACAGACTGAACAACTGAACTTACTCTTCTTTAGCTTTGCGGCCAATAATGTTAGGGGTGAAGGTTTTCTGAAAGATAAAACATGGGAGTCAAGATTTACTTAGTTAAACAAATACAAAAGTGCTGGTGATAGACCATTACAAACACTGAATACAATTAACTGAGCCTACCTTTTTTACACCTCCCAGGGTGAGGTCTCTGGAGCGCATGGAAGGGAGGCGGCCAGGGGAGATAGTAGCTGGTAGCCGGCGTCCCATCACCAAACCCCTGCCACTCCGTCCGGGCGTGGCCGGAGTGTGAGAAGGGCCACCAGGGTCACTTGAGCCTTGCTCAGCCATCCTGGACAAAGCAATTAAGAGATTATATTAAAAAAAAAAAGCTAAACAGATGACAACTATCCACACAGCTTTTTTCAAGAAGTCTTCATAAGAACACCTACACCCCTCCGTATTTATTTGGATAGTGAAGCTAAAATGTGTAGATTTGACTCTATACTCCAGCATTTTGGATTTGAGATCAAATGTTTCATATGAGGCGATAGTACAGAATGTCACCTTTTATTTGAAGTATCATACCCACCAAAAAATTATATCCTCTCACCATTACCAATAACAGTGGAGGTTACAATATTTTAGGGGGTATGCTCATTGTTCCTCTAACTTTCTCACTCATCATTATTCTGGATTCATTCATATCATGGTACATTGTTTCCCCTATATTAATTTAGCAGCGGCAGGCCACTGGGATGGTAAAACGTTTTTAGTGTAAACTTAAACAACTCAAACCAAATATAAAACTAGACAGTCAAGGATAATCTAAAATTCCCCAAATATCATGGCATGAAGCCCCCATTGATTTTGTTATCATGTTTGAGTCACTCAGATGGTATAAGATGGCATAAGCTATGGCAAAGTGTGTAGAATTGCAGGAAATTAGCTTTAGAACTGCAATTTTTTCTCTCAGCCCCATTACCAAATTTGCAGAATTGCAGGAAACTAGCTCTAAAACTGTAAAAATCTTCTCTCAGCCCATGGCAAAAGTAATGATGTACACTGAGTGTACACAACATTAGGAATACCTGCTCTTTCCATGACATAGACTGACCAGGTGAATGCAGGTGAATGCTATGATCCCTTATTGATGTCACCTGTTAAATCCACTTCAAATCAGTGTAGATGAAGGGGAGGAGACAGGTTAAATAAGGATTTTAAAGCTTTGAGACAACTGAGACATGGATGTGTGTTATGATGAGTTTCTGGGGTTTCAAGTAATTGAGAATGTAAGGATATTTTTAGACACTTTGTAAAAAGTTAATGAAAATGTTTTATTAGTCGGTACCTGGTTCGATACAACAAGGACAGAGCTTTGCCTCTTGCTATTTCGAACTGACTCGAACAAAAGATCAACTCTCCCTCATATACCCTCGGTTACCAGTTCATTCACATACATCTGGTACCCATCATGGGCACTCCCTTTCTTTGATGTTATTACTATTTACCCCCAAGTCATATATCCTGTCCATCAATCATTTCTAAGATCAGCCTCAGTAATCTCCTTTGACATAAGGAATGCAGACTTTGTGGCACCAAGCCACTTATCTCCTAACTCTAACCTGGTCCACACGATACTATGACATGACATCATTACAATGTGTATGTGTGTCATTCAGAGGGGGAAGACAAAATATTTAAGTGTCTTTGAACGGGGTAAGGTAGTAGGTGCCAAAAACACTGGTTTGAGTGTGTCAGAACTGCAACGCTGCTGTTATTTTCACACTCAACAGTTTCCTGTGTGTATCAAGAATGGTCCACCACCCAAATGACATCCAGCCAACAGGCAGGCCAGTGGTTGAAAACAGGTCACTGATGAAAGAGGACAAAGAAGGCTGACTTGTGCAGTCACAGACGGGCTACAGTTAGTCAACTGACAGTCCAGTACAACATTGGAGCCCAAAGATCCATAAAAGAATGCACAACTCGTTGTACCTTGACACAAATTGGGTATGGCAGCCCATGACCTTACAGAGTTCTACTTCTTTCAGCAAAAAACAAGAAACTGCGGTTGCAGTGGTCTAAGGAATGAAAACACTGGACAATGGAGAATTGGAAAAACATTGCCTGGTCAGATGAATCCCAGATCCTGCTGTTTCATGCTGATGGGAGGAATAGGGTATGGAGAAAACCACATGAATACATGGGGTGTGTTTTCATGGCACACATTGGGCCCCTTGATAAACGTGGAGCAACGTTTGAGGTTGAAGGAATTTTCCGTAGAGCTCCGAGACAGGATTGTGTTGAGGCACAGATCTAGGGAAGGGTACCAGAAAACTGAGCAATCGGGGGAGAAGGGCCTTGGTCAGGGAGGTGACCAAGAACCCAATGGTCACTCTGACAGAGCTCCAAAGTTCCTCTGTGGAGCTGGGAGAACCTTCCAGAAAGGCAACCATCTCTGCAGCACTCCACCAAAATCAGGCTTTTATGGTAGAGTGGCCAGATGGAAGCCACTCCTCAATAAAAAGGCACATGACAGCCCGCTTGGAGTTTGCCAAAAGGCACCTAAAGGACACGCAGACCATGTGAAACAAGATTCTCTGGTCTGATGAAACCAAGATTGAACTCTTTGTCCTAAATGCCAAGCGTCATGTCTGGAGGAAACCTGGCACCATCCCTACGGTGAAGCATGGTGGTGGCAGCATGATGTGGGGATGTTTTTCAGCGGCAGGACTGGGAGACTAGTCAGGATCGAGGGAAAGATGAACGGAGCAAAGTACAGAGAGATCCTTGATGAAAACCTGCTCCAGAGCGCTCAGGACCTCATCAACCAGGCAAGAAGGAGCAACCGTGCAACTGAGCAACCGGGCAAGAAGGACCTTGGTCAGGGAGGTCAGGAAGGTGACTAAGAACCCAATGACCACAGAGTTCCTTGGCTGAGATGGGAGAACCTGCCAGAAGGACAAAAGTCTCTACAGCACTTCACCAATCTGGGCTTTATGGGAGAGTGGCCAGACGGAAGCCACTCCTGAGAAAAGGCACATGACGGCACGCCTGGAGTTTGCAAAAAGGCACATGAAAGACTCCGAGCATAAGGCAAAATATTATTTGGCCTGAATGCAAAGCACTATGTCTGGAGAAAACCAGGTACAGCTCATCACCCGTCTAACACAATCCCTACCGTGAAGCATGGTGGTGGCAGCATCATGCTATGGGGATGCTTTTCAGCGGCAGGGACTGGGAGACTGGTAAGGATAGAGGGAACAATGAATGGAGCCAAATACAGGCAAATCCTTGATGAGAACCTGCTGAGAAAGTGCAAACAACCTTAGACTGGGGGCGAAGAGTTACGTTCCAACAGGTCAATGTCCCCAAGCATACAGCCAAAGCAACGCTGGAATGGCTTCAGAATATTTTTTTTGAAAGTCCTTGAGTGGCCCAGCCAAAGCCCAGACTTGAATACCATTGAAAATCTGTGGAAAGACATGAAGATTGCGGTTCACCGCTGCTCCCCATCTAACTCAGAGCTTAAGAAAATCTGCAAGGAAGAATGGTAGAAAATCCAGATGTGCAAAGCTGATACAGACATAGCCTACCCAAGCCAACTAAAAGTTGTAATTGCCACCGAAAGGTGCTTCTACAAAGTATTGACTCAGGGCTGTGAATACTTATGTCAATGAGATATCTGTATTTTATTTTCAATACATTTGCAAAAATGTCTAAAAACCATGTGAGGGAAAATGTTGTGCTTTTCTAATAACCAATTAAACTGGGTACATGCAAGTGACTGATTGATCATTCCTGGGAGGAATCCTCACTATAAGTATAAGCAATTTGGCAGTACGCCCAGATCATTGCTTTGACCACCGAAAGGGGTATCTCAGTTTCAAGGTCTCAGCTTGGAGAGAAGAAGCCTAGTGAGGTATTGGTCGGTCACATGCAGGAACCAAACGTTAATGATGAATAATGAATAATGGAAATCATGCAAATATAACTTGTCTGTGTAAGCAGTATATAAGAGAACTAACAGGACTGCCCCGGTGGAGCTCCAGACCGACGTGTACTAAGTTTGTTGGAACCTCTCCAGCTTGCTGATAATAAAGAATGATTCATTTAATATTGACTTCAGGTGTCCCTGGTGGTAATTTCCATGACACGTTTGCACTTTGTCATCATGGGGTATTGTGTGTAGATGGCTGAGAGAAAAAAATTGATTTAATCAATTTTAATTTCAGGCTGTAACAACAAAATGTTGAATAAGTCAAGGGTTTGAATACTTTCTGAAGGCACTGTCGCTTATACAGAGCTAGCCCTTGATCATGACTCTCAGTTCCATTACATTACACATAAGAGCCATTGGACAAAGGCGTCTTCTGTACAGGGGAGTTTTGTTAAGAGCCCCGACGCTCGGCCTGAACATTAACATGAATCGCTTGTGGTACGGTTTTGGAAGCATTAGGATCTTATCTTTCATATCAGCGAGAAATAATTTTCAAGAAAACAAAAAGGTTAAATTAATACACACCTTTATAGGGTTAGGGTTAGTGTTCCCACACGGCCATATCTACATGTTACAGCGAGTGTTTACGGAAAACAGAGGCACCACCTGTGCTAATTAACTATCTAGCATGCTCCGAACACAATGTGCTGTCACTGAAAAATACTGTTGGCTGCAACTATGATAAAGTCAGTAAAAACAGTGTACACTAAGTGTGTATTTTGCATGTGTGAAATTATTATGATGTGATGTGAAAGTAAAGGGCTTTATCATAGGCGATGCATCCATAAGGCTAGGGGAAGCGAAGCTTTCCATAAAGTAAATTGCCAAAATTATATAGCCTAATTAGCCTACTCCTGTCTATACATTCAAAATAGGCTACTAAAGCATGATTTGTCCACAGAGGATCATTAGATTATTAAAAAATGTTTAAAGTTGAAATCGTATTGCCTACAGTCGGAAGGAAAGACAGCGTGCAAAATTTGGTCAGCGCAGGTGGCAAATCCCAAATAGATGATTGTTGAGTTGCGACTGTCAGTGAAAAGTAGAGGCCCAGCCAGGCATATCGCAATATTTCAAAATACAATCGCGGGAAACCATAGTTTGGAAAGCAAACGGCTATTGCTGTAAAAATAAGAAAATGAAAAGACTAATCTGTATTTTAGTTAGGCTTTCAAAATTCTCAACTTAATTGAGCGAACAACAGTATAGCCAATCTTATTGGCACCAGCGGAGAGCATCGGCCATATCCCCGGTGAGTGTGACTGCGCATATTCACTCTTTATCATTGTTGGATCAGTGGCACTTAAAAGTTTGTTTTTGGACAATAATTTCCTTCTCCAGTTTAGATGGAC